TGATGATCAAATTGAGGTTTTAGATGAGCCCAGAAGGAGTAAAAGGGCTAGGATATCCAAATCTTTTGGTCTAGACTTCTTGACTTATATGGTTGAGAACGAACCTCAAACTTTTCACGAAGCTGTGACTTCTCTAGAGAGTCCTTTATGGAAAGAAGCGATCAAAAGTGAGATTGACTCCATCTTACAGAACCACACCTAGGAGTTGGTAGATTTCCCTCCAGGTTTTAAGCCTTTAGGCTGCAAATGAATTTTTAAAAGAAAGATGAAGGCCGATGGGTCAATTGACAAGACCATGTTCAATTCTAGGTTTTTGTGGTGAGACTAATTTTGAATTAACTTTTCATCTAAAGGATTTTCTAAGGGTTAAGTTTAATTTCTGGAACACAGAAGTGATATTCTGGTGTAATTTTTGAATGGCAACTATCACTGATGCTGCTGCTACTGCTAATGTTGGTGGGGATCTGAACCCTGGGGCAACTGGGTTGCCAACCCCTACTGTTGTGACCTCTGTGGTCAACCATGGCGTTACTCCGGCTGTTCCGGGAGGATCGCTCAATCATCACGAGCACCCGGAGAAGTTCACGGGAGTGAATTTCAAGAGATGGCAGTAGAAGATGCTGTTTTATTTGACTACTCTAAGCCTTGTGAGGTTTCTGAGTGAAGATATACCAGCCGTAGAGGAGAACGAGCAAGATATCCCACAGGCGGCGCCAATTGTACGGGGAGCAAATATTCCGGCAAGCCCGTACTCCTTTCTTCCAAGCTCCGTTTCTGTCCGATCACCTGAAAGCACAATGTGGGTGAGCTACCCGGCGGTGTGTGGCCGGAAAACCCCTCCGACGGTCAAGTTAGAACACACACCAGGGGATAGATAGAGAGAAGGGAGAGTGTTGAGTGTTTTTCTCACCAAATTGTCATCTGTCGTATGGGAGGCGCAGACCCGCTTATCTACCTTCTGCGCCCCAGATCTACTCTCTTTAGTCTCTCGACACCTGGTGCTGCTATCCCATCTGTCAGCACAAATCTCGCTGAACACCACCTACTATTATTTTGGACACAACAAAGCTCTTCAGCAAAAGTAATTCACTTCTATTACATTGACAAAAAGAGTATTTGCATTCAGAAGTGTAGGGGAAACAAGTCCCTCAAAAAATTACATAAGGCCGCATTCCATGGCCGGGGTACGCCTTTGCCATCCAAATCCTAAGTGGTATGCCCCTTGCCCGGTTATCTTGTAAGGCTCTTCCTAGTTTGCCCCTAGCTTGCCTTCACCCGGCACTAGTGCGTTGCCCATGACCTTCCTTAAAACCCAGTCGCCCACTTGCCCGTTGCCATCGAGGTTGTCTCCGCGGTGGACGTCGCTGCATCGTCCTCTACTCGGATGTGCTCATTGATGCGCTGCATTAGGTGCCACATGGATGTTTGCTGGCTCATTGTAAGCGAATCCCTCAGCCTATGTCCGAGCGGGAGACCGCGCTTATATTGGGTGATTGCCAGGTTGACTGGGCAATCTAGGATCTCATTGTAGGTATCCCAGTACCTGGAGTTGTACGCCTTGAGAGTGTCGCTCGGTTCCATCCTGACACTGAGAAGGTGGTCAACTTCCTTTGGCGTTTTGGTGTTGGTTTTGAAACACGTCACAAAGACTTCGGCCAACTGATTCCACTGTTGTATACTCCCTTCTGGCAACCTCTCGAACCACTTCAAGCCCAGCTCGCCTAAACTCGACAGGAAGATCAGGCACATAAGAGTGTCATTTCGCCTACGTCCAGCCATGACCTGTCGGAAGTGGCTTACATGCATATACGGATCGGTCTTTCCGTCATAAAGCGTGAACTTTGGTTGGTGGAAGCCCGCGGGAAGCGGTGTTGTTTCTATCTCCAGGGAGAAAGGGGTGGCGCTCAGCCTCGTCAAGTTTGTATCTACAAGGAGTGGCTCCGCTAGGCGGGGTGGGGGCATTCCGGCATCCTCGCTGGCATGAACCCTGTAGGATAGCCGCTGGAACGCCGGCACCCTTTGAGCCTCCCGCCGGCGAGCCCGTTCCTTCAAGACTGCCCGCAAGTCCTCTGAACGAGCGGAATAGGAATATCTCGACGTCGTCACCGGACGTGAGGGCTGGTAAGTGCTATCTTGCGCGCTGGATTTCTCTGAACGGCGGGATGGGATGCACTCTCTGTGGTCTACCACTCCATCTACACCCTTCCCCTTGACATGCCGCTTCAACTCCTCCATCTCCGCTGCCATTCGCCGGATGACAGCGTCTTGGTCCCTCAACTTGTGTTCCAGACGTCGGGCACGTGATTCTCTCCGCCGCCGATGACCGTCTGGACTTCGTGAATGACCATAACTTCTTCCGCGCTTATCCCGCGCGTCTCCTGACTGTCCTCCAGTGAACGTATCCAAGTTCGCCATTGGAAGGATGACATGATGTCCTTCTCTCCGTCGGGTGAACTCCGGGGTAGCTTCATCGATGGCGGACAACGGAATCTCGTCTTTGTTCACCATGGACAGCGATCAGATGAGCCTGGAAGACAAGGTTTTATCTGTCAAGCTTCCCACAGACGGCGCCAATTGTACGGGGAGCAAATATTCCGGCAATCCCGTACTCCTTTCTTCCAAGCTCTGTTTCTGTCCGATCACCTGCGAGCACAATAGCGGTGAGCTACCCGGCGGTGTGTGGCCGGAAAACCCCTCCGACGATCAAGTTAGAACACACACAGGGGATAGATAGAGAGAAGGGAGAGTGTTTAGTGTTTAGTGTATGTCTCACCAAATGTTCATCTGTCCGTGTATGGGGGGCGCAGACGTGTTTATATACCTTCTGCGCCCCAAATCTACTCCCAGTGTCCTCTCAACACGTGGCACTACTATCCCATTTGTCAGCATAAACCTTGCTGAGCACCACCTAACCCAACTGCCTGCCCATTCTCCTAGGAGCTCGGCAGCCGGGCAGTACCATCTCGGCCATCGTCTGCCATGCTGCGCTTCATGCCCAAGTACTCCAACAGCTAAGCTCAGATGAGGACCGGACTCGGCGGCATCTCGGCAAAGCCGAGCTCGAGACAACTCACGCTTGTCTGCGGTCGACCTTCCTGCCGAGCAAAAAGGTACCTCGGTCCAACCTTGCCTTTCCTAGCGCTGGACCTTTCATCTGACCGGCTTCGTAACCGCGGATCCTTGCAGCTCGGTCAATCCACGCGCTGCCTTAACCGAGCAGCTTCCTTCAAGGCTGGGCCACACAACTTGGCCCAACACCTATTCGGCCCAAATCTGTCTGGCACAACTCTGTCCGGCCCAAATCTGTCCGGCCCAATTCCACGGCCCAATCCAGATCATAAATCTCCCTCTCAAGTTCTATTAAAATAATCACATTAGTATTATATCGTTTATATGACATTAAGGTCTAGTTAAATTATTAGTTTTAATTAAAAAATTAAAAAGTCATTATAAGTTATTATATTATTTTTTTACATATCTTTTCGTTAAAAGTTAAAAAATTACTAAAATAACATATTCATAAACGAGACTTTAACATTCAGTTATATGCATAACTTTAAAAACATCTAGTTGGTTTTTGAAATTCAAAAATTGAGTTTTTTGGAATTTAGTATATTTTTATTTTATTTTAGTCAATTTTTTTTTTATATTTTAAATTCACCTAACTTAGATGTATTTGAAAAATCTAAAAAAAAAAATCATTAAAGACAATAAAAATATTTTCAGTGAATTAAAAAAAAAACTAAAATATTTTACTTTCTAAATGCATTTAAATTAAATAAAATTTAAAATAATAATTAAAAATTAAAATATTTTTCAAAATCTAAATCAAATAAAATATATTCTATCAAAATTCATACTTGTAATGGAAGTCTTTTCAGAAGTTTATGATAAAAAAACGTGATAAAAAGTGGGACTTCATTTAAATACGATAATAATACTTAAAAAAATATTTTTAAAATAGAATATATTAAAATTTAAAATTATAGTATAAAATAAATAAATAAAAAAAAGATCGAAAATTCTAATTTGTGAGCTCTATGTGAACCCCATATGATGTAATATTTAAAAATAAATAAATTAAAAATTAAAAAATAACTTTTAATTCACTTTCCCAAATAGGCCTTAACTCTCTATCACTTCTGAAATTAAAAATAGATTATCCAATTCAGGTGCCAATATGTGCCACCAAATGTGTGGGATATGGACTCAGCACTTTTGATGAGACGACAATGCAAAATGGAAATTGGGAAATTGCGGTTGTGATTTTGCGAAGTGACACAGCACAAACAAACCCATTTACAATTTACAAACAAACAAGCAAACAAAAAAGTGGTTTCTCTTCTTTTCACCAAGCAAGGATTGGATCTCTCTCTCTCTCTCTCTCTGCACAAGTCAACACTCGGTTTTATTATATACCCATTAAATTCCTTCAATCTCTTCCTTTCATTCACTCATCACATAATAGTCTCAAAACCCCCCGTTTTCTTTGATAAGCTTCTTTAAAGATCTACGAGTTTCAGAAACTGTTTGATAGCGCAACCATGGATGTTGTGAGTCAGTTGCAGAGACAGTTCGTTGATCACACGACATCTCTGTATCGCGAGGTAAAACAATACCGAATTTTGGCATGGGTTCGTTTGTTTTTGGGTTGTTTTTTAGTTCTGTTTCTTGGATTTTGTTTCATTGAGGTTTTGTAATGATGGGTTGGTTTTTTTGGTTTGCGAGAAGGGTTTCTTGGATGATCAGTTTACACAGCTTCAGAAACTCCAAGATGATAGCAACCCAGAGTTTGTGGTTGAAGTTGTGTCTCTCTTCTTTGAAGATTCTCAGAAGCTTCTCAACAATTTGGCCTCTGCTCTGTAAGTTTTTTTATTTTTTCTTTTCACTGTCTTTATTGTTTCTGTTTTTCTGGAAATTTGAAACCTGGATTAATGGGTTGTTTTTCAATTACACAGACAACAACAGATTGTAGATTACAAACAGGTCGATGCCCATGTCCACCAGTTCAAGGGTAGTAGTTCTAGGTATTTATTTATTTTTGTAGTTCTCCTTAAATACGTCTTCTCTATGTTTGATACTTTGATTTGTGTTCTTGAGAATACTTGTGAATTCTCTCCCAATAATTTTCAGAACTTGTATTTCATTGGAAATCTAAAATGAGAGATCTGAATTTGGGTTCAAAATAGGGCATTAGATTATTCTCCCACGAAATTGTTATTGCATAATGCTTTTGTTGCAAGTGTTTAATGGAAATTGTGTTTCTATGGTTGACAGCATAGGTGCACAGAGAGTCAAAAATGTGTGTGTTGGCTTCAGAAACTGCTGTGAGGAGAAAAATCTTGATGGGTGAGTTTTGCTTGACACTCGTATTGCCTTTGTCTGATTACCTAATGTAAAATTTATGGTAATTATTCAAAAAAGCTTATTTATCTATTAAAATTTCACTGTCGAATTCATATATTGAAAAACCAGTCTAATGGGAAAACCTAGTACATGTATGAGTCGTTGTCACTGGCTGGCCACTGTGTAACGCCTGCCATAATTTTGGATGAATCATAACTTCCTTGATTTGACCTTATGTGTGACCTTGTTTTTTCCTTAATTTTTAGACTGTGATGCTACTATGACTCTTCATTCTAGCATGAGGTGCCCAGCCGGCCCATGCTAGAAAGATGCTCCTTGCTATCTTGACTTTAGAATATGTATGTCTGTGAAGCTCAATTGTTACACTTTGGTTCATTTTCAACAGAAATTTGTCTATGAAAAAAAATAAAAAAATTGAATGACATGCATGTGCCATTACAAATTGGTATTTTAAACATACACTATATCTGTGGTACGGGGCATCCCAAATATTTCAACGAAGCTAAAAGTGTGGCAAAATGTATTTTCTTTTCTAACATGTAGCAGCAAGGCTTTTATAACATGTGGTATATTTTGATTAAGTTAGGAGTTATGAGTCTTAAGAAGTGGTAAGAGTGTAACTTTTAGATCCGATATGATTCTTACTGAAAATGAGTAATAGTTTAAAAAAGAAATTATCCGAGGCTGATTTTGTTTGTTCCCTTAGATTTATACAGAACCCTGAAAGTCTTTGTATTTATTGATTAGTAATAATTGCTGAAATAAATCTGGTGTAGTCTGCTTACCAATTTGTCGTAGCCCCATTCCTCATTATGACTTAAAATGAGCATTGTATCATGAGTGTGTTCACCTACAACCATAGTTATTAATCTCATACCAGTGGGCAATTGGTTTTCTTTTCACCATTGGAACCAGTTTGTTTCCGTGAACCATTTCAGATTTGTTGCTATAGGCTATACCTAATATAAACTTATCAAAAAGTATATTCAGTTCACAAATTCAATCTCCAATGCACAAATAATCTCTACTTTTTTTGTTTTCAAAAAAAAAAACAAAAACAAAAACAAAAACAAGAAAAAGAAAAAGAAGAAGAAGAATAAACATGGGGCGGATCAGAGTGAAGTGCATCAAAACAGTGACATGCGTAAAAATCAGAAAGAGAGAGAGATTGGACAAATCTCTTAGTTCGATTGTCGATTCCAAAATAGTTCTTGTGGTGCTGAGAAAGGTTAGAAGAAATATGCAACTCCGAATATGATGAGGGTGTTTATCTCTGTCCCTTTACTTTGTATCCAATCTACTTCTCCAGTACCCACAATTTCAGTGCACCAAAAAGGAAGATATCGCCTGAAATGGAAACAGACTGGCTTGGTTTGGAAATTAGCCTCAAAGAAACGCACAGTTAGCTGTATGGTTAATTCTTATTTGTTGCTATATGGTACATACAGGTTGATTCTGGTTAGTACAGAACATGATTTATGATTGTGTCTACAACTCTGTTGTGCTTTTATTAAATATGCCTCAGTAGGGTCATGATCATAATAATGGTGACTCAATGTCGTGATATTGCCTATGACTTGGGAATGTTTGGTGCAGGTGTGTGAGATTTCTGCAACTATTGGAACATGAATACACTCTTGTGAAGAGCAAGCTTGAAACTCTCTTCGGGGTATGCACTATTATGAAAGAAACTAATATATAACTTCTGTGGTGAAGATGCATCAAAGCGATATTTTCTTTTATATTCTTTGTTTTTAGTTGCTCGTAGACTTCTTACTCTTTATTTTAGATTGCACCATTAGACTTGTCTTCGTAACTTTTCGTTTCTTTTTTCATTCTAACATTTTCTCGGTTCATTTTAGCTGGAGCAAAAAATCTTGGCAGCTGGTGGGTCGGTTCCGATGATGGCATAAGTAGAACTTATTTCATCTCCAAACCTGTTGGAAAAAAGAAAAAGAGAGAGATTGTGAACGGTTAATGCTATGGAGGAGCTTTTTATGAGTTTTTTTGGCTTTTGAGTTGCTAGGGGATTATGTTAGATGTAGGTTTAAAGCTTTGTATGAAAAAGATTAGCTATGGTGTGAATAAGCATTTCTACCCCCTATGCTTCCCCAAAAACCTACTTTCAACATTGCAAAGCTATAATCTCTTTTTTCGCTGTTAAATGATTTTATATCTATTTTTTTATCAGATGGGTGAAAATTTTATATACATATGTATCATCGGGCTGGATTGTTTTGGGTAACGGTCTAGTCTGGCCCAAAGTTAATTCGGACTTGGAACCTTCTGCTCAAGTCTGGGCTGATCTTATGAAAGACACTGGCAAGCCCAGAGAAAAAATACAAATTAGGCTCGGCTTGAACCGGCCCACCTTGAGGTCCTAGATCTTACTCGACCACAGTGTCTTCTATTTAATGATTGACATGTTTCTGATTCTATTTTGTTTTTTTGTTTTGTTTTTTTTTTGGGTTTGTTTGTAACCGGAGAGAAGGGTTACTTTGCACTCACGTAATGAATTTTGGTACGTTTTGATAGCTCAATACTTAGGGTTGGATTTGTCTGATTTTGGATAATTGATAAAAATGTGTGATGTTTATAATATGACAGACATGGAATTTTGATACTCTTAAATAAATTATAAAAATGATGTTAGTCAACCTCAAAACAAACATTTAACCAGAACAAAAAAAAAAAAAAAAAAAACTCTTAAGTCTCATTTGAAAACAGACTATTTTAGTAATTTTTTGATTTTTTACAAAAAGATGTGTAAGAAAAGTAAAGAGGAAAAGTAGAGAGAGTGATATGATAACTTATAGTGATTTTTTGACTTTTTGACTAAAATGTATAGTTGACAAATGAGGTTTTAATCTGTTCCTAATAAGGACTATGATGTGATGGATCAGATCTCCTTTTTTATTTTTTTCTTTTTTGCTACCAATTATATTTATTAGAAAAATAATTTATTCACACAATTTCTTTTTTCTGCAGTCTCCTTAATGATGTGACAAGTAAAATTTGAGAAGTAATTTACATTCAAAATATTTAGGACTTTTCTTAAGTGTGCAACTTACACCTTACACTTACGCCTTTCTGTTTGCTGTCCTGTTTCATGTTTGTACTTTCCATTTATACTTTTTGTGTTGGTTGCATATGGTGTGCAATCATAACAGTACCCAAATATTTATCCTTAATGCATTTGGTCTTGTCACCTCATTGGGGGGTTAACTTTTTAAATTTTGTTTGCCACATTATTAGAGGGATTGTGGGAGAAAAAAATCATATAGATGTAGCATTGATATATTTATTACTATGAGATTCAATTACTTTTTCTTTTACTATACAAAAATAAAAAATAAAAAATTTAAATAGCCCTTTAGTGACATTTGTTTAAATTAGTTCTGACAGAAAATTTCACATAATATACTAGCAAAGAGTTCAGTGTATGTAGTGAATATTAACATATCTTTTCCAAACATGAGAGATGAATATCTATACCAAAAATGTTTTATATCACTAATTTAATACCACTAAACAGACTACTAATGACGTAGCGAGATGTGAACCCCACACTGATGTGATAGTTTAGTCTTTTCTTTTTTTTTACCCTTACACCGTCACGACGTAATTAGTGTTGTTTTTAACGATGGTATATTAGTGGTCTGAATCGGAACTCATATTTATACCTAATCATGGACTTGAAACTCCCAAGTTCCACAACCATCTAGTGGTCTGAATCGGAACTCATATTTATACCTAATCATGGACTTGAAACTCCCAAGTTCCACAACCATCTTCCCGAAAACATGGCACCACTATGCCTCTTTAATGTAATCTTCTTCTTCTTCTCCAATTTCTTATCTTCCTTGAATAACTAACTCTTTACAATGTTACCCACTCTCTTAGCATTAAAGGAGTGACCACTCGACATCAAGTTTAACTTTCCAACAACATTGTATCTTCTATATCATCCTACTCACATGGCTTGATTTTCTACTTGTGTCGATGGTTTGTCTCATGTTCAAAATTTCACCTGCCACAGTAGAATTAAAAATATTCAAGATGAAGAAGGAGAGATGGTTAAATAACTAAATTCAAGACAACAGAAATGGGGCAGAGAGAGAGAATGACGAAATATCTACAAAGAAAAAAAATATACAATTGCCGTGTAATCAAACAAAATATGTATTCCAAGCTAGAAATTTAAGATCTTTAAAATGAACCTCTCATGGCAATGAATCATGTCTTTGAATCTCTATGTTATAAAGCATTAATATGTATTGAATTTTGTCTCGCGATTACTTCGCTTTTGAGATATGTAATAATATAAAATTTTTGAATTTTTTGAGATAAAGGATCTTATGTCAACTCTTACAAACTTCAGTGATATTTTGAGACGGAAGAATATGGAGACTTAGGGACAGAAGATCTCATATCAAAACACATTGCATTGTTTTTTGTACATTTATCGAGATTAGTAGAGACCAAAAAAAATAATAAAAATACCATAATCTCTATATTTAGATATAAGAATAAGAACAACGAGCAATAAAACTAAATACACAAATACAAAACACAAAATAAAACACAAATATCTTATAAGAAGTGAATTTCATATCATGTGTAAATGTAAAATGCTATATTTTTCGTTCTGTATTTTGTATCGACAAACCTAATACTGTTGATCATCAAACAATGAAAGCAGTGTAGTTGGATGAAAGGGACAGCATACCAAAGACAAATAACTATGCACATGATGTCCCCATATACAAGGAAGAAAAAAGGTGCGATATTTTTCTATCTTTTTATCAGGATCCTCCTTAGATCAAGAAAAAAAAAGAAAAAAAGAAGAGGGAATGAATTTAACCATGGAAAGTGAAAGTTCTACTGTCCACACATTGGATTGGTAAGCCCATTAAATTAACCTCAGGGAGATGGAGCTGCAAATGATGAGTGGGTGTGTTTGGGTTGTTGGGTTTGGTGCATCCAGCACACATCCTCATGCAATTCAATCAATGGTGAGGATGATGGTGATGGTGGTGGTGGGTGGGCCCTTTAAAGGGGGTGTTGTTCCCTGCTCTGCTCAGAGTTCCATTCATATCATATGATATATGGACCACTATGAAATCTATCATTGCTCCCAATTTACTACAATCAAGGACTCTGGTGTCTAATAACTAAAACTAACCCCCATTGAGGTTTTAAACCAATTTGTTTGTGCATTTAAGGAAACTCCATTCCCAAAATTCCTTCGTACTTCTACTTCCCATGTGTTTGGGGGGCTTAGCCAAATTTCTTATCAAATCATTTTGACGCTTCCTGGGGTGCTTGCATTAATTATATATACAAATTTCTTATTAAGCCTTTTTGATAAAGAAAACAAAAATAAAAACAAATAATCGAATATAATCCTTTCACATAAAAATAAAAGAGAAATCTTACTATTTTGTAATGTTCTCACACCCATTAAGAGACTTATGTCTAATTTTGTGATTATTTTTTATGCAAGTAGAAAACGAATCTATTTAACATTTTTTTAGATTCATTACTTCATACGCACTTTTGAAACTTTAATATAAATTTTATTACGATTCTTACTGTGTGAGTGATTTTCCGATCACATTGTCAACTTAGTATTCAGCTGGAGAGCACTGACAAAATAGATGGCACCTGTCTGACTTGCAACAAAAAGAGAAGATTCTAGCGGTGGTTCGTCCACCCGGGGGCACTCCGACGATCAAGTTAGTATATCTCTCAAAGATAATTAATAGTGCTTAACTCACTAGACAGAGCATAAAAGACATAGCTTAGACCCATGAGGGTGCCTCTTTTTTATAGCCAACATAATCCTAGTCCCTATAGAAGTCTAGCTCCAATGGACTTAGGATTACTGCTCATCTTGGACTCCCAGTAGGATTAGGATAAACTCTCTAAGAGTCTTATCTTTACCCAAACTGAAGTCTTCTCCCATTCTAGGACTCTTGTCCCTTATCCGCTTATCCCGGATTTCGGTATTCTCGCAGATAACCTCGGCCTGGCCGAGATCATCTCAGCATCATGACCAGGACACGTGACACCTCGGCTGACACTTCGGTGTCACCTCGGCCACGTGTTGTCATTCAAAAATTATGTCCCCACAACTGCCCCCTAAGTTCTATTACCTTGGCATCCTGAGCTGATAGAACCTATATCATTTCTTCCATTTAGCACGTCGGCTAAGCTTGCTTCATCGTCTATTGCCGGAGTCAGAACTCGTCGGCTCAATATGACCAAGACCTATAGTCTGCTTTCATAAATGCTTTAGAACCAACGACTAAGTTCGTTCAAATTTCTCAACCGAAATCGTCCTCCTAGCCGAGGTATTTGCTTCATTGAATCAAGAACTCCAAGAGTTCCAGCATGCGTATGAGCCAGTACGCACAGTATTTCAACCGTTTTCACCATGTGTCTTTCCCTTACTGGACCGGATCTGATACGCGCCATCAAGTCGCATCATTTTTGCGCGTGCTGTCTGACCATTTTTGCGCGTGCTGTCTGACAGGCACGTCCTCCAAGGCATTATAATTGCCAATTTTCATGTTTTTGAAAAAAAAAATTCTCTCAAATCCTTCTTTGCAACTTTCGTTGTACTTTTTTGCTCATTACCATCGTCTGACCCCGGCATACTTCACACCGGCCTTTTTGTAATCTAAACAATAATTCTTCAATGTTAGGCCGAAGTGCCTTCTTTCCTTTTCTAAATGCATTCTTTAATTTCTTCTTTCAACGTGGTTGCATGTGTCTTCTTTTTACTCTTGTACGATTCTCGGCAAGTACCCAAGTACCTTTCTTAGCATAACCTTGGTTTCAACTTGTAATTTTTTCAAAAAATTTCAACAAGTGTTTAACCTCAGTCTCGGTTTAACTTCAACTTATAAACTTTTTTCAAGTTTCAACAAGTGTTAAACATAATTTCGGTTTAACTTCAACTTGTAAACTTTTCTCAAGTTTCAACAAGTGTTAAACATCATCTCGGTTTAACTTCAACTTGTAAACTTTTCTCAAGTTTCAACAAGTGTTAAACATAATCTCGGTTTGACTTCAACTTGTAAACTTTTCTCAAGTTTCAATAAGTGTTAAACATAATCTCGGCTTGTGAAATTCCAACTCCCAAGCATCATTCTTCAGCCCTTTGCCCTCTAATGTGAACTTAAGTTCCACTTGGGTTCTCATTAGGCAAGTGGCTTTGACCTTGATATTGCTCTATGGGCAAGGGATCTGTCCCCTGCATGGCTTCCACATACTCCTTTGTGGAAAAAATTCTTTAACTTAGGCCAAGCTCTTCTCTCCTCGGACTTAATCATCTAAGCTGAGATTTTGTCTTCTGGGATCTGGGATTCCAGATTTGGAATCTGGGATCTGTTTTCATGTCCAGTATTATCTCGGCTTTGCTTCGGCGAACCATTTCTCTTCTCTTGTTTGGACGCCTTTGTCCCCGGCGTGTCTTCCTCGACTCTGGCATACTTTTCTATTCTGGCCATCAACTCCTCCATGCTTTTCGGCAATGTCTTTGCCAGTGATTTTCGAAGCAGTCAGTCATCCTTCAAGCCGTTTTTAAATGACATGACCGCCACCTCTTGGTTGCATCCTGGTATTCGGTTGAATACCTCATAATATCTTTTGGCATAGGCCTACGGCTTTCATCCTCACCGATCTTCAGGGCCATTAGGGCGTCTACCCTCAATGACTGTAGTTTGTTTGTCACGAACCTGGCCACAAACATCTCGGCCAGGCTTTCCCGGGTTTTCACAATTTCTTTCGGCAACTTGTGAAACCAGTCCGATGCAATTTCCCCGAATGATGAGGGGAACACTTTGCAAAGTAACGACTCGTTCCTAATGTAAAACGCCATCGCGTTCAGGTATAATCCGACGTGAAAATTGGGGTCTGACTTCCCATCGTATATTTGGAACCTCGACATACTGAATCTCTTCGGGACCTCAACTTTGTCTAATTCTTCCTAGAACGGCGTTCTCGGTTTGATCGAGGAGGTTACCTCGGTATTTTGTTGCTTTCTCTGTAGGTGATCTCCTAGATCCTCTTTGGTTCGTCCAAGGGCTCGGCTATCTCTGGATTTCAACCTCTTTGGCGCACCACTTCTAGCGTCATTGTAAGTCCTTTTGGACCTCCCTCCACTGGTCGTGTCGAAACAGAGTTCCTTCCCCTGAACATCCTGATGTTCTTTGGTGCAGGTTTCTTTTATTCGACGTGCCTTCTGGGATTCTCCATGCCCGACCTCCCGCGAAGGCCGGTGAGACTGTCCCTTGGTCCCGCCATGCTGAGGGACGGCATGAACCGCTTTCTGCCCCCCTTTCTGGGTATCTTTCTTGGCCGCTGGAATCAGCGTATCTTGTAGCGGGAACGGTGGCTACATGACGTTGTTCTGCATCATGAAATTGACGACCGTTTATAGGTCCGCCAATTTGTCTGCCATTCCCTTCATCTCATCGTCCCTCCGCAGGCATCTATCTTTCCATACCTGGAGGTCGTCTTCGTTATAATACCCGCTCCGGTACGATTTCTTCGGTACGCCGCCCTCTTGGTCGATGTCCTTTCCTCCGTGATTCTTATCACGAGTTTCTTTGTTGCAGTTGTCATCTTCAACGTCAAGGTCAATATGTTTCCCACTCTCAGTATGGGTGTCGTCCCCACCTTCTCTTTCTGTCCGTCGTTGGCCATCTATTCTCCTTTCTTTCCCATAGACTGCGCCAAATTGTGTGAGTGATTTTCCGACCATACTGCCAACTCAGTATTCAGCTGAAGAGCACTGACAGAATAGATGGCACCTATCTGGCCTGCAACAAAAAGAGAAGATTCCGGCGGTGGTTCGTCCACCTGGGGGCACTCCGACGATCAAGTCAGTATATCTTTCAAAGTTAACTAATAGTGCTTAACTCACTAGACAGAACATAAGAAAACATACCTTAGACCCATGAGGGTACCTCTCTTTTATAGCCAACATAATCCTAGTCCCAATAGAAGCTTAGCTCTAATGGACTTAGGATTACTGCTCATCTTGGACTCCCAGTAGGATTAGGATAAACTTTCTAAGAGTCTTATCTTTACCCAAACTAAAGTCTTCTCCCATTCTAGGACTCTTGTCCTTTATCCGCTTATCCCGGATTCCGGTATTCTCGCAAATAACCTCGGCTTATCCGAGATCGTCTCAGCATCATGACCAGGACACGTGACACCTCAGCTGACACTTCGGTGTCACCTCGGCTACGTGTTGTCATTCAAAAATTATGTCCCCACAGTATCCATTCTCAATCTCAAGCTTCAAGAATAGCTCAATGGTGTTGGCTTTGACTTGCCGCTTATCTACTTAGTTCGAACCAAGTCTTTCATTTGTGATAAAATCAAATACTAATGCATATTCTTAAAATATTGTTTAAAATTAAGATTTTTTTTTTTTTTAGTTTCGTTCTTGTGCCTAATGACACTTGTTAGCAAGAACATTATGATAATATGAAAATCATGTTATTGGATATAAATATAAATAAACTCTTTCTCTCAACTTTATGACCTAATCGCAATATCCCACCACATTCCGCTAATTATTCCCAAACCTAACCTAACATTACTATCAGTTAGTATTTGGACCCATTGTTAAGTGGGCCTAGATGCTGACGGTAGAATGGCCCAGATGAAAGTGGACTGACTAGAGTGGGCCTGCTTGGTACACACACACTACCCTGGCAGCCCTATTAGAAATCTGACGGTGGAAGGAAGCTGGAAAGTGTAAAGAAAAGATTCACACAGAGTTTTCACTCCACAAAACGACGAGGAGAATATGATCGGACGATCGACAGCTGTCCTCAAATGAAATTAACTCCAAAAAGCCCAAACAGGCCCTTACCTACGGGAACAACCGGCTTTATCATCTCGCGCACGGTATGTGGCATTCATTCCTACGTGGCTTCTCATTAGGCTCGGTGTAATTTACTCCCTCTCATGCCCTCCCTCACCTCTCTTCTCATAAATAATGGGTACATTTTTTCATAAATAATATAGTTATCAAAATATTCTTAATAATATTTACATTTACAATATGAATATTTCATGATATAAATGTTCACATTGTAAATATGAATATTCACATCACCAAATTGCTAATCGTTTAAAAAATATTTATAAAGATAGAAATATTCATAAAATACTTTAAATATGAGAATTAGGATTTGATAGATCAAATGTTTAAATAATAAGACTTGAAAAGGGATTTTCTAATAAATCTCCCTAAATAATACTGCAAAAATAAAATAAAAAGTTTTTAATTAGACTTTAAAATTTAAGTTCGTATTTCACTCTCTTTCTTATTTAAAATTTTAATTTAAGAACTATATTGAACTGTAAACTTTTTAAACCAAACCATAATCTAAGTGTTGAAAATTGCGAATAATAAATTACCACGTGTTTATAATGAACTCTACAAAATTGTGATAAATTTTGTAAATATTTCTGTGATGAAATATTATTGAATTGAATATCATGGGTGAGAAATGGAAAATGCATGAGACCCTAGTAGGCGTGCTGGGTCTCTTTTCATTGGCCCAAATTTTTTTTTTTTTTTTAAGGTTTTCAGCCAATGGCAGCCCCCCATGTGGCATTGGGGGGTCACTGGGGGTCCCCAACAGAGCCCGATGAGAAATGGTGTGATATTATATTATTGTTCTAGCATTATTAGAAGAAAACTATTAAGTTCGTTTGGTTCCTATCTTCAGGATTTACTTTTTATAAAATTAAATTTTTTTATTTTTCATATTTTTTGTTTGTTTTCATTGAATTTTTTTTAATATTCTAAGCTTTTTTTTTATTTTCAAATACATTTAACATAAATACACTTAAAAAATATAATATTTGTGATTTTTTTTTTTAGAAAATTCACTAAATTCCAAAAATATATTTAAAAAAAATATGATTTTTTGTATTATTATATATTTATTATTTTTTAAAATATTTTTTATAAATATTTTACTTTTTAGTACATCTAAATAAGGTGTATCAAAAAAAGTTTTTAAAAAAATGTTTAAAGTTTTAAAAATATTAACTAAAAATAAAAATATATATATGAAAAATAAAAAACACAATTTTTAGAAAATTAAATTCAAAAAATTGAAATAAAAAAACCCTAAGTAATTTCCATGCGATATGTAATAACCCACTTCAGTATATAAAATATAAAATATAAAAATTATAAATAAATTTATAGAGCATATTAGTACTTCATAAAAAAAAAATGCCGAATAAAATCGGTTTAATGGTTGTGCCTCATTGCCTCTTACTCTTGGAGCATCTCTAATAGTTGTTACTATAATATTATTATTATTGCTATAATTTAGTAGTGAATAGTATTATTTTGTCAAATTATAGCAATAGTGCTCCAATGGTCACTTGCTATTTTGGCAATTCTCAACCATTTTTCTTTCCAAGTTTGTAAGTATTGTTTGGATATAAGTTTTTTTGTGATTTTATTTTTGTTTTTTTTTTGTCTTTTATGACATTTTTTTAACTATTTGTAAAAAAAAATTATATATTTATATTATTCCTGACTAAACAAATATAAAAAATTAGAAAATTAAAAAAATTAGAAAAAAAATTAAATAGAAAAATTAAATTTGAAAAATTACTTGATTTTTTATTGTTTCAATTCTGTTTTTTAAACTAAATTTGGAGCCACAAATATGTTCATATTTACTGATATGACATATTTAGCAATTGTTATTTTACTTGCCAAATTTAAAAACAGATATGACATATATCATCTTTAACAAGTAAAATAATAAATCAGTGAAAACTCACTTTTTATCACTATCACTAAATTATAGTTTTTGACAAGTATTTGAAAACTCCACTGGAAATGTTCTCAGGCAACATCCTCATGGTCACGTGGTCCTCGTCCCTATAACAGCGAAGCCCGACGCTGCTGACCTGCCACTCCGAACCTCTCTTTCTCCTTTCCACCTAGGCTTGGACAACCGTTTAACCCCGCCGAACCTAGTCCTGAAAGAAACAAAAAAACCACTGTTAATATTCATAGTTAAATAAATAAATAAAAAAAACAGAACTAGAAAAAATAACCCGAGAGACTGATCGCCGAAGCAGAGAGTTATTAGTAGAAGTCATTTGCAACTTATCTGAGAAGCTAAAGCTATTCCACGCAGAGACGAAGCGTCAAGAAGAAGAAGATCACCAAAAAGCTCTTTGCTTTCTCCCCAAGCTACTCTCTCTCTCCTGAATCTTGGACTTTGATGCTGCTACTGTCTCCATTAAAGCATTCACGGCCATTTCACACGAGAAACAGGTACCATGTAAGTTTCTTCTCACGGAAAAGCACCCCAAAAAGCTCAATCCCACTCCTATAAAACCCCTCTCCAAAACCCTCTCTCGTTCTCACTTCAGCTACAACAATGGCGGTGATAGTGTTGAGGAAGACCAAGACAATGCTATTAGCTCTAACTCATTTACTGTGTATTCTTCAATGTGGTTTCATAGCTTTCGCTATCTTAGACCCAATTGATTTCCTCGCTCTCCAATCTATTCGAAAAGCCCTACATGACATGCCTGGATCCAACTACTTCTCCTCCTGGGATTTCACTTCCGACCCCTGCAACTTCGCTGGGATTTACTGCGACAGTGACAAGGTCATTGCATTGAATCTCGGCGATCCGAGAGCCGGTTCACCAGGTCTGACCGGCCGGCTTGATCCTGCAATCGGAAAACTCACTTCTCTCGCCGAGTTCACCATCGTCCCTGGTCGAATCATCGGTTCGCTTCCACCATCAATGTCGCAATTGAAGAAGCTCCGGTTCCTAGCCCTAAGCGGGAATTTCATCTCCGGCGGAATTCCGGCGACTCTCGGTCTGCTCCGGGGGCTTCAAACTCTCGATCTCAGTTTCAATCAGCTCACCGGAACGATTCCTTGGCCGATCGGAAGTCTACCGGCGTTGTCCAACGTCATTCTCTGCCACAATCGTCTCTCCGGTTCAGTCCCTCATTTCTCTTCCCAAACCCTAACTCGGCTCGACCTCAAGCACAACGATCTCTCCGGTTCACTCTTACCAACTTCTCTTCCTCCGTCAATCCAATACCTCTCATTGTCCTCGAACCGGTTGGGCGGTCCAGTGGACCACCTCTTAACCCGGCTCAACCGCTTAAACTATCTCGACCTGAGCATGAACCGGTTCACGGGCACCATTCCGGGCAGAGTATTCAGTTTCCCAATCACAAACCTTCAACTACAAAGAAATTCGTTTTCCGGTCCGGTCCAACCGGTTGATCATGTCACAATCCCGACCGTTGATCTCAGCTACAACATGCTATCGGGCCAAATCTCACCAATGCTATCGACCGTACAGAACCTATACCTGAATAATAACCGGTTCATAGGTCAGGTTCCGGGCAGCTTCGTGGACCGGTTACTGGCTGCTAGTATACAGATATTATATCTACAGCATAATTATCTTACGGGGATTGAGATCAATCCAACGGCTGAGATTCCACTGAGCAGTTCGTTGTGTTTACAATATAATTGTATGGTTCCGCCACTGCAGACACCTTGCCCATTGAAGGCTGGGAAGCAGAAGGCGAGGCCTACTGCACAGTGCAGTGAGTGGAGGGGATAAATTGGAGAATTCATTTTATTGTCAAGGGCAGAAAGGGAAAGATAACATAACTATAGATTTATAATGTGGTTTATATGTTTTTGCACGAGTTTTGAATTCATTTAATTTTATTATTTTTTTTGGTTGATAATGTGGGTAAATCGCAAATAAATTAAATTGAATGTGCATAGGTAGATATATAAAGCAGTACTTAGGAAAGACCAATATATGTTTCTAATGATATCTTTTATATGTTTTTAACTTACTTCTTTTTTTTACCAAAAATATGGTGGTTGATATATGTTTTTACATTAATCTCACTTCACATGTTTTTTTCTTGGCATGTTTGTGTGTTGGGTGAGAAAATTGGTGGTGTATTCAACTAATAGCAAGTGACTTAAAAATAAAATAAAATAAAAATAACAATGATTTTATTAGAAGGGCTTATGGCCACATGATTTTCCTGACTTGTGTTATAATTTCTACTTTTTTTTTTTTTTTTTTTTTTATCCATTTTGCAAGGGCAGGCATTAATGAAAAATCATCTTTATTTATACAATGGGACCTCCTTTGATGAGTGTTACTATCATTCTTCACGCATTTGGAGGTTTGATATGGAACCTTTTGTTCACTTTAAATTATGAGTTTGAAACCTAACTAAATACTGTTAGAAAAAGTGCTTAAGTTCAAGTAATAAAGTCATTAGTAGAAAATGATATAGAGTAGAACTCACTTTCCTTTTTTTGCCCTTTAACGAGACATCATTTGAATTAAGGAGGAGTTCAGGGAAATTAGATGGTCAAAACATAAACATGATTTCATTTTTCTAGAGATTCTTAAAAAAAAGAGTAAAATTTTGAAATATCTTTTACCAGAATGATACCGTTGTTGTAGTTGCCATTTTGTGAGTATTTTTATTTTAAAATGATATATTTAAATTCAATCACATTCTCTATGTTCTTCTCATTCGGATAACACTACTTCTTATTATTATTAGATGTGTTAATTCAGTTTTTTTCTTTTTTAAAGTGTCATACTCAAATTTTTATATTAATTAGTCTTTATTTAAAATAATAAAAAAAACCCATACATCTAGTCATTAATTGAACCCTGAGTTTACATTTAGTGCATGATCGATCCAATGAATATATTTTGTGATTAATTTGATGGAGGCTCAATCACACCTCCTCCCATATGGAAGTGTTAGTGAAACAAGGCTATTGACAATGTTTATGATAACAAGTGTATGATTACATATCTAACCATAAAACCAATTATACAAAATACCAACTTTAATCATACATGTTAAATGATAGGCCCATCATAAAAATACTGTTTCATTATGGCCTCGTTTGAGAAGTAGCTATTTTAGTAGGCTATTTGGTTTTTTGACTATTTTAATAGGCTATTTTAGTTTTTGTATTTGGAAAGATGAGATGGATTTTATTTGAGTTGTTATATTGAAAAATGTATTGAAATGATATTTGAATTTAAAATGACAAATTTGTCTTTAAAATTGATATAAAGGAACAAAATGGTAATTCAGCCGTTGATGTAACATTTTGAGGCTGTGACAGTGTAACAGCCTACACTGTCCGGGCTGCAGCCTATATTTTTTTTTTTTTTGAAAAACTGTGAACATAATCGCTCTTTTACTTATTTCTCATTTTAGGCTATAATAACCTGCACCTCAGGTTCCCAAATAGGGCCTATGTATGCCCCTTGTTAAGTTTATGTTGAAGGTTTCTTTACAAGTGAACCTCCCTTAACCTTTGAGCCTTCCAACCATTGATATCTAAAAAAAAGTGTAAATCTTTGACATGTTATATTTATATATAATACTTTGGCACACAGAGAAGTGGCAAATGAGACATGGGAAAGGACAAATGAGGCTTAAATATGTACACATTTTTACATATATACAGAAGTTTGAGGTACCCTTCCTTGATAATGAGAAAACACTACCTACCCTAGCTACCAAGCAATTTCGCAGAAAGCAACCAAACCCAAGAGAGAGAGATCATCAATCCCCGTAAACTTACTACTATGTATGACTCTCTATCTCTCATTCCACACATTCCTTCAACCCTTTTGTCGTTCGGATATTGATTTGATTATAAATTTTAATTTTCAAAGTTCAAACACATTTTCAATGATCAACAACTTTTCAAAATTTGACATGTCAAACCCTATAGCTATGTTTTGAACTTTGAATTTATTGGAGAAAAGGGGAAATCAAGGAATTAAGTTTAGTTCCGTAACTTTTTTTTTTTTTGGTGTTTTTGTTAGTAGGGTCTGGTTTATGGGCATGGAGGCTTGTTAGAAGAGGTAGGGATTGAAATGAGTATGGAGGAGTTGTTGGAGAAGCAAGTACAAACTTTTTACCTGCTTCGCCGTTTAGGCAAACAATACATTAATGTCTGATTAATTTGTCTTTCTACTTGCTATCTGTCTTCCTTGGCACTTTGGTAACCATTTAATGTATTTTTTACATACCTATAGTCAATGTCTAAATTTGGCAGTGGTGGGGACACGTATAGCTTTTTTATTCCATTTCAATAATAACACCTGAGGACAAAATCTCTCTTTTTCTTTAGTATGTTTTTTTTTTCTTTTCATTTCTTTTCCCACTTTCTGAGTGTTTGTTCTTTAATATAATCAAATTGCAAGGCTGGACAGTCAAAAGCCTCGTTTGTTCACATGATACAAGGGGTCAGTGGACTATTGGTTTGTTATCCTTTTTGGTTCCACATATTTTTTTTGAGTAAATTACAAATATACCCTTTGAGATTTGCTTAAATTATAAATTACTCCATGTTGTTTTAGAAATTACATTATGCACCTCTAAAGTTTTTAATTTCATAACAAATAAGTTATTTTATTAACAGTTATGCTACGTAGCTCAAAATTCTCAAGCTCAAATTTTGCCCGAAATCAAAACGACGTCGTTTCGTCATTTTGATTTTTTTTTTTTTTTTCCAATAAATGGCAGAAGAAAATCAAAAAAGAAGAAGAAAGAAGAAGAAGAAAAAAGTAGCAGAGACAGAGAGACCACCCATTCATCAGATCCATAAAAAAAAATAAATAAATAAATTTAGCAAGCCATTCAACAACATCTTCATCAACAAGACATTCATCATCAACAACAACAACAACAACATCTTCATCATCAACCATTCATCTTCATCATCAACAACATCATCAGATCCAGAAAAAAAATAAAAATAAATAAAAATAAAAATAAAAAATTCAACCATTCATCTTCATCATCAACATCACCATCATCATCCTCAACACCAGCCAACAGTTTTATTTTTATTTTTTTTCCCTTCATTTTAGATCCAGAAAAAATAAAAAAATTAAAATTAAAATAAAAAATAATAATCAAAAAAATCGTGTTGGGCTGCGGCGATCGGAGGCAGAGGCGGAAGCGGGAGGAGCTGGGCTGCGACGATCGGAGGCAGAGGCGGCGACGATCAGCGATCAACCCCCTCTCTCTCTACATTCCCTCTTCCCCTCTCTTCTCTTTCTCTCTCTTTCTCTTCATCTTCTTCTCTCTTTGTCTCTGCTCTTTCAGACATAAAGAGGTAAAAAAAAAAAAAACTGCTCAAAACGACGTCGTTTTGCGCAGTCGGGGAATTCGGGGGAGAAATTCAAGCTACGAAGGATTATTATTTTATTAATAAATCATCAAGTTAATTAACAGTTTTTAATAATGTTAAAATTTTATTTCAATTAATAATTCAGATAATTTTATTATTGTATAGGTGAACAGTTAGAAATTTCACTTTTTCAATTAATTCTGTTAAATGAAAAATTCTGACAGAAAGACATTTGTAATTTTTCAAACCACAGAAGGCAATTAGTATTTTAAGCAAACCTCAAGGGGTCTATTTGTAATTTATCCTATTTTTTTCCTATCCTCGTATGTCTTTTTTGTGGTGTTCAATTGGACATTATATCCGAAATGCGAGCTAAAAATAACAATAGTATAAATACTAGTCTCAGCTGATTAAAACAAAAAAATTACAAAAAAAAAATCATGAGATCAGCTGATCCTGGCAAGATGTCAGCTGATTATTATTATTTTTTATTTTTTACAATCGTGGCAAGACATCAACATATAGCATTTCTCACAGTAAATTGTTGTTTATGTACAATCAAATTGCAGAATGAATACAAATCACATTTGAGCAGTGGTTACACTTTCTTATTCGATCATAAGTTAAGTAACATAATCCACTCTTTAAACATTATATAATTACTCACATGTGATCATACATTAAAGAACTTACATGGGCCTCGTGAGCAGCCTTCAATAAAAATGTCTCATGCTGATTTTCTTCTTTGCCTTCTTGTTCAAAGGGGTTGGTGTTTCTGCACTCCCGGAAAATTCACATTTTACAATATCTCCATCCCAAGAAGAGCTAACAAGCATTGGGTATTGAGGGTGCCAACTACAATCTCTCACTGTTGATTCATGGTGCTTGAGTCTTGCCACTTGAGCTCCACTCACCTTCAGAACAACCGTACAAAAGAATTTCGCATTAGAAGGTAGGAAAAATGATTACCATCACAAATTGTACATGCTATATACCGGCATTCTTGCAGGGAATGTCAATGTAGTGGATTTACATGAATGAGGTCTTCAAGAGTCATGTTGTGAGATGTCTTCTTGTCATTACCGTATGCTCAGAGTATTGTAAGGAGCTTTTACGGAGTGGAGGGTTGAGGCAGTTAGGCCAAGGCATATATTGCAATTTTCAGGCATGAGTGTTACAGAATAGAGAGTTGCCTTGAGTGGTTCAGAGTCTTCTTATAATTCTTACTGATTATGTGGATTAATAAGACACACACACACACACACCTGGGACTCCTCTAAACTGCCTGAGCCCAGCACAAAACGAAACAGCACATCTGCTGTGGAAATAGGGACACCCTGCTGAACCAAGTATATATTGTGTTCTTGATTCTGTGTGTTTGTTCTATTATTTAATGCTTTAGTAAAACCACGGTTTTGCACAAGTCACTTACTACGCTATGTTTAATATGGCAATTGTAAACAACGCATGCACGCATAACATTTCCTCTCTCGTATATATCATATCTGTCCAATTATGATATTTATGTTCTTTCCTTCGAAACACCAAAAGAAATCTTTGCCACATCTTCAATATAATTGTGTGTTCACAGTAAATTTCCCTAAGATATCCCATGTAAGAATGATTTTGAATCTCCCTTCATGCAAACCACAAGCACAGAACGGAATCAAAGAATTGCAACCTCCTGCACGTCTGTTCTGATAAAGAACTTTGGTTTGTACTGGGGTAAAGCATTCAGAAAAGAGAAAAACAGTCAATAGATTTCATTACGTACCACATCATAGATGTATATGCAAGAATCATGAGATCCAGTGTAGATGTACTTCTGACCAGTGCTGTGAAAAAATCAATCAAGAAATTTGAGAACATGTTAGCTAAAGTTGTTAAATGGTGTTTATATATGCTCTCAACAAATAGGCAAATAGAGTTTCTTCATGTAAAACCAAGATAGGATGCAACTTGCAAAGCTTGTTGAACTGAGCTAACTAAGAAAACAAATCCATAACTTCAAAATAACAGCCCCAATGTATAGGGAAGGAGTGGCTACCAAGCATGAGAATACAAGTTTAATCTAAGGGCAACCACTTCATAAAAAATAGACCCAGTCCACCCCAGATTTACATAGTTAGTGTTACCTATATGTGGGCGAAAAGTAACAGCGAATGAGAGTGCGCAATACTGAATGACCTTTATATGTGGCCAATGATTGATCATTTGGGTGCTTTAAACCTCTTGCCTGAGATGGGTAGTCCATCCGTCGGTAATCCCATTCATAATGCCCAAATCCAGGTTTGCTGAAATTGAGGAAGGAAAAATGTATTACAGGGGTTCCTATTAGCTCTTTCAAAGCTGTTCAACATGTACAACATTTTGGACTAAAGTCAAACAAAATTTTGGCACAATGAGACACAACTCATTAGTTGACTCAGAAAGTTTGATTGATAACTCATCCTTTTCACGATTTTGATCATTTAAAATAAACAAGTAATTACAAATAGGCCTGGAAGTGAGCATACCCAGTAGCATTGGCAGACATTTTCCGGATATCCCAAAGTTTGATGGTCTGATCTTTACCGTTGGAAATGAAATAACGACCATCTCCACGGCTGTCAAGAAATGTAATCCCTTCTACGTGTCCCACCAGGACCCCTGCTGGCTTTCCCTTTGCTTTAAAGCAACGTCTGTCCCAAACCTATCACAGTAACAAGTTAACATGCAAAATTAAATAAGCTAATGCAAATTTTTACAAACTTTATCACTTTGTCAGTATAGAAAATTTTATTAAGAATCAAAAGGTTACTTTAAAATATTCTTTTAACCGTTTGTCTCAAATTTAGAGGATAAACCTTCCAGATATTAGTAATCCATTGAATAGTCCAGTCTCTACATCATGTTTTCCATCAACAGAGAAAGAAGATAAAGAAAGAAGCTTCTGGTTGTGGAAATTCTAAAGCCAGCTTTTTCCTTAAATCATTGCTTGTAAAAAGATTATTGTGCTGAATCACTTCTATGTAATTTGGTGACCTGCTGACTGAAATCATAACCTAGATTTGCCTCTATATTAACACCACATGAATAGCTTGTGGAAATTCTAAACCCAGCTTTCCTAACTCATTGTTCACAAAGAGATTTTTCTATTGAATCTATGTACTATGGTGACCTGATGACTGAAATCATAAACCTAGATTTGCCTCTATATTAACACCATGACATATATGTTATTTTGAAAAATATTCACTGTGTTTGGTTTTAATTTTCTAAAAATTGAGTTTTTTATTTTTCGTTTTTTATTTTATTTTTAGTGAATATTTTTAAAATTTCAAGCATTTTTTTTTTCTGGTTTTAGATGCACATTCTTAGATGTATCTAAAAAGTAAAATATATGTAAAAAAATATTTTAAAAAATCAATAAATACACAAGAATACAAAAACTGAATTCTTGTTTTTTTTTTTTTTTTTTTTGTATTTAGTGAATTTTTTATGGATTTTTTTCACAAATATTATACTTTTGAAGTGTATTTATGTTAGATGTGTCTAAAAATTTTTTAAAAAATGCTTAAAATATTTTAAAAATTCAATGAAAACAAAAAAATATAGAAACAAAAATTTTCAATTTTCTGAAAGGTGAATTCAGAAAACTCAAACCAAACAAGCTGATTGATTTTAAAAAAGCCATTTTTTTCATATTACTTCAATAATTGAAACATAGGACCTCAGAAAATAAACTCAACTTAGGCCTCGTTTGGGAACAGGTTATTTTAGTAACTTTTTGGCTTTTTACGAAAAAATTTGCAGAAAAGTAAAGAGGTGATGTGACTAGTTTTAGTTGGCTTTTTGACTTTTTGACTAAAATAGTCAGTCCCCAAACGAGGCCTTAATTGATAATTACAAAGAGTTGACCCAACTAGTTGGAGACATAATTTGTTATTCCACTAGGAGAAATATTCTTATTTAACTGTCAACAATAATTAGTTACCTTCGAAAAATATGATTCCCTAAAGATGTCAGATGCATAAAATGAAACCCACAAACACAAATGTCATATATAGAAGGAAAACAGTATTCAGATTTTCAATGAAGAAGGCAACATAAAAGTATTAAGGATTTACCTTACAGAGATTATCGTCACTCCCAGAATAAATAAGATGGCTGCTTTCATCAGCAAAACATACAGTATTTACATCAGACTGCATCAGGAAACAAATGTATTATGTTAACTTTCTCACAGACTCACAGAGCGCAACAGTCAAATTATAATAGAACCATATCTAAAGTGACAATTAATATTTCTATGGGCCATTTTTTAGGCAATGGTAAAAGCTTTGGCTACCAAGCATGAGAATACAAGTTTAATCTAAGGGCAACCACTTCATAAAAAATAGACCCAGTCCACCCCTCCCAGCAACAACACTTCAGATACTTAGCCAACCTATGCTGAATAACCAACAAAATCTGCCCCAGATAAATGGGGATGAGACTTGGGGATGTCCTTTAATTTAATATTAACATTCCCATATCTCACTTCTTAACAGAAGTTTGCCAAAGAACAACATCATTGGTTACTGGTAAGTGGTGGGAACAATGCTTACATGCAAGGCATGCATTGTTAGAACTTGAACGGATTGCGTGAAAACTAAATGGTGTAAACAATTTATTTCCAATTTCTGTCTCAACCGTGTATCTGGAGAACAATTTCAGTTCTGCTTATGCTTTTCTGTTTGGTGAGAAAAATATCATACCCATACCATGATGAAAGACATAAAGCAGCTATTATCTATCAAAAAGACATGCAACAGAGAGAAAGTTTTATCAAGATAGTATCTCTACCGTGTGTGCCAAAATTTGAAGGGAAAGCTTATTTGATTCAAGGTCATAAACATATATTAAGTCATCACTGCTACCAGCAACAAGCTCTCGCCCATCAGTCGAAAATTTCACAGAAAATATTCCAAAAGAGTATCCTCCATCGTCATCAGAAAAATCCAAACCATCATGAATCTCCTGCACAACATAGATTAGTTGTTGTTCACCAAATTGCAGTGTCTACTAAATTCCAAAACAAAGGATTTTTGTACTTAATACCGTGATGTTTGCATGAGATTCTGTTGCTGCGGATCCAACATTAACAATATGGACAATAGGTGACATGCTGGCATAAACCTGTAAAAATGATGTCCAAATTGACAGAGAATGAGATTTCTTTAGAGTCAGAGAGAGAGGGAGCAAAAACCAAACATAATGTAATTTTGAATATACTACAAATGATACTGTAAGGATCTCAATTAACCAATTACAGCATCTTCCAAACAGTTCTTCCAAATAAGGGGGCACATTTTAACATCATAGATATAACTGGGAGGGGGAAATGCATGAGAGTGAATAATACAAAGAAATGCCACAACATACCTGCATGTCTTGATGAACACAAATTTCCAATCATAGTTTGCATCTTCACATGCATATTTCAGTTGACACAAAAGCAAAAGAACTCACCAAATAGCGTTGATCTGGGGAAAGGGATGTATCAGTAATTGTCCATCGCAAACTTTTGGCAAGAATGTTTTTTTGAACTTTCCACCCTTTATCCACGTTATATATTCTAATGTTGCTTCCCTGTATTGAGAAAGAACAAATAAATAAATAACTAAATCTAAATCAAACTTTACATTTTTCCTTCTGGTAAGAGAACAATCAGAACAGACTTAACATGCACATTAAAGAGCTGTCAAATTTTTAATTTCTCAGACCCAATTCCAAAACAAGATAGTAGTACTTGAAACCCTGCAACAAAGAGGGAACCATCAGCTGAAAACTGGGAGACATAAGCCCGGCTAGTCATCTGGTCCACAAGCTGAGGATCATTAACTGGCAAATATCTACTCGAAAAATGACAACAATCTGCTGCCGAGAACCTTCCTCTTCCTGAATAATTACCTTCCCGGCCTGCCAACATCTTGACTGTTGAAACAGGGAACTCCCGCTTACGCGGTAGGATGCGGGTCAGATGTTCATTGGGTGCTGACCTGAGCTTTGTTGCTTGAGCAACTTCATGGTCAAGATGATTCAATGACTTGTTGGGCATCCTATGGCTGCCACCAACTTCAGAAGTGGACTTACCACTATCGCACAATAGGTCGGAGTCTAGCTCCAATATACTCATAGCATACCCCATGTTATTGAAAGCAGCCTTGCTGTTAAGAAAGTACATTCTAACTGAGAACCATGGCTGTTAATCTGTATAGCATAGACATCGAACACGGTTGGGTAAGTCAGGGGTGATCTTCCAAATCCTGCAAAGAAGCTATTGTAAATTCTTAATATATGCTCACAAATGAAGCTATACACTTCCAGAATCAGATGAGTCTAACTACATTGAATCTCTTTAGAGGTGTTTGAATCTTTGAATATGGAAGTTAACTTCCACAATATCACCAACTTCAATTTTCACATTCAATGACAATCTTCAGCTTCCAAACTCAGTGCATTTTCATTACTTTCTTCTAATACATCTATGGAACACATATATACATTTATAGACACACTACAAATCAATGAATTTTTTTTTTAAAAAAAAAAAAAGTCAATGCCCTGGGAATGACCATAGGAGCATAGACAAATCAAGAATTCATGAATGGACATAATTTATTGCATAGAAGCTGATAAATGCTAAAAAATTAAAATACGAAAATATCCAATTCTATTTTTATTTTTTTGATATTTAAACAAAATGTAATTAAAATCAGCTGCTATCTTCTGCTAAATTCAAATAATTCTATATGTTATCAAACACGAACTCTGCATTTCTATTATCAATTGTAACAATAATCAACTCGTTCTGGTAAAATCTGACTCTAAAATCTGAAACTCAATCTGTATATTCTTAACCTAACTTTAAAACAAAAATTACAACAGAGCATAGAAATTGAAAAAAACTAAAAATAAACAGAAATTAGATCAAATTCGAAACTAACGAGCAATTATTAGTTAGATCGTCCATGGAACGAGGCAGTGGGTGAAAATCAAGAAGAAAATGAAATCTGATGCGAGAGAAGATGAAAGCAAAATCAAATTGAGCGTGACTCACCTTCTTCACTGTTGTTGATGGTGGTGATGAAGAAAGATCAGAAAGATTAGCTAGAAAATTGGAAGCTTTGGAATTTCAGATTTGTTGTTCGAAGATTTGTGATTGCTAGTTGAGTTTCACATAGAGAGAGAGAGAGAGAGAGAGAGAGAGAGTAACAATGAGTGAAGAAGTCTCCTCTTGGAGGGGTCGATAATGTCGTCGTCGCCACTTCTTAATTTTTGTGAAGGGTGGGATAGAAACGTGGTTGTTTCTACTTCGCGCGTGTTGTATTGTCGTCGGTTACTGGCTTGGACAACGCGTATCTCTCCTTTCGTAGCTTGTTTATCCTCGTCCATTATTGTCTACTACCACAAAAATAATATTCAAAATTAAAAATAAATAAATAAATACCATAAAAATATTCACGTTAATACTTTTTTAGTGAGATTACAATTATTTTATACTATAAAATCATAATATCAGGGACCTTAAAAAAAATACCCCTAAAAATATTCACGTTAATACTTTTTTAGTGAGATTACAATTATTGATTGTTAATTTTGTATTTGTTATAAATTTATTAAATGAGATGATAATTTTTATTTTATTTAGAAAACTAAAATATCAAAATGAATAAGGTTCGATATTTTAAAAATTCTATCAAAAGTTTTATGAAATATCTTATATGAATGTAGGACTCACACAATATGAATCTTACACTCATATAAAATATTTTGTAAAATTTTTTGTAAAATTTTTAGAACATTTTTTTGTAACAAAATCTAAAGTTTAGTTCTTCGGAGGAGTGACCGGTGGGATAAATATTTTGGACCATGTTAGGTTGAGATTTTTAAATATGTTTATTTGTTAGTTATTTTGGCCCCACCTTGTTTGACTTTTCATAACATATTAAATTTTTTATATTATTTGATTACTATAAACTACACACAAAAAAAAATTAAATGTATATATAAGAAAAAAAAAAAAAAAAAGAGGCCAAAATCAAACATTTAAACCCAAATGCAAATATTTGATAGCACTTAAATTCATTTACATTTAATTTTTTTTTTTAATTTCCCATACAAGAATAACTGTTGAAATAATTAAATTCATTTAATAATTGATATATACCAAGTAAATGGTCCAAGGTTAAAGTTTTTAAATTTCTTTCATATCAACTTTTTGAGTCCGAATCTTTTCTCGTTGTTCCCTGCAGTGTTTCTTGGAGTGGGACAAAATGACGTCGTTTTGGACAATTTTTTTTTTCCCTCTTTTCTTTTCTCTCAACTCTCAAACAAGAAAGACGAAGAGGAAAGACGATTGCACGGCGACGACTGCATGACGAGACAAAGCGAGGTGATGGCGGCAGAAGCGGCGGTGAGACAACGCCCTTCCTTTATTGCTCCATCAAATTGCAAAAAATGTAGAGAGAGAAAGTTAGAGAGAGAGAATGTAGACCTTCATTCACCTTTCTACCAATTTATATACCATATATATATATATATGCATTCAGTTCTATAATATGATTCTTATTGTTCCTTTTCACTTCAATTAAGTAAAATAGTGGTGAATCTAAATGTTTTTGTTTTGGGGGGGATTAGGGTTTCTGATGGAGTCTGAATCTCTGCCATTGTTTGCTGCGACGTCCAAAAAATATAGCTTCGTCGCCACCTCGCCGTCCCGTGCCGACGGCGACGGTGAGCAACAATGGAACTCCATGGATTACTATGGATGGCCAAACTTTTCCCATTCTCAAACACACCAAATGCACCTTTTAGATATAAAGTTCATATCTCAAACATTACAATACAACCAAATGAATCAATTAAACATAAAATGGTAAAATTAACAAGAACCCATCTGTCAAAAAAAGAAACAAGCAAATAAACAACATTTAGAAGGCAACAATAGTGAAACATTTCAAAATCAACACATTCAAAATCTAGAAATTCTCATCCCACATATGAGGATCGTTTCGGTCTTTCGTTTGGCTGGTTTGTGCGAGTCCAGATCCTCACCGCTGCCGTCACTCTCCTCTTCATCTCTTTGTTCAGTCGTTCGTAGGCGATGCTCTGAAACGTTTGAGAGCTTAGAAAGAGAAGAAAGAAGAAAACAAGGTGGAAAAAAAAAAATTGTTCAGTCGTTCGTAGGCGATGCTCTGAAACGTTTGAGAGCTTAGAAAGAGAAGAAAGAAGAAAACAAGGTGGAAAAAAAAAAAAAGTCTAAAACGGACGCTATTTTGTCCCACCGCAGGAAACATTGCAGGGAACAACGACAGAAGATCCGAACTCCAACTTTTTTTTTATTTTTTATTTTTAAATGGGGACGTCAGCCCAAAACTCAACCAACAAACTCAGAAGATACAATCGAAATGAGAGAGACTGAGACTTCTCCAAGCCAAAACACCTTGAAGAGCAACATCCACAGCTCCTCCCTAGCTAAACAGTGTAAAAGCTTACCACCCTTTAGAATATGAGAGACCACTACCTTTAGAAATTGGCCACACCCTGATTGCACTTCTTTTATGATATGAACAAATGGTGACACAATAGACCCATCATTGTTGATTATATTAGAATTTCTTTAAATTTTCATTTAGATAACACTTAATTTAATAATGATATTTTTTTATTTTTTATATTGAAAATATATATTTTACTTTATCTATTTCTTTAAACTATGTCCACTAATTTTGATTTATTAAAAAGGAGGTCTGTGTGATTAGATTAATATAATTATATGAAAATTATGAGGTAAAAGATTATTTTTCCCCAACTCGGGATGGCAGTTTAATTTATCCGAAGTTATTTTGCCTTTATTTGAAATGTGGTTTGGCGTTTTAGCTTTTTGGTTTGTTTGGGATGTATTTTTTAATTTTTTTTTATTTTTATGACAGGAAAAATAAAATAATTATTATTTAAATATAGGGTAAATTATATTGACACTCTCTGAGGTTTATGTCTATTACATTTTTTCTCTTCACTTTTTGAAAATTACATCTCCCTTCCTGAGGTTTAAAGTTTTATTACAGATTGCTCCTTCCAGCAATTTAATTTTTTTAAATACCAATTTTTTCCTCACTGGATAAATTACATTGACACCCCTCACATTTTAGAAATTATAATCCTCTCTCCAAGATTTAAAGTAGTATTATCAATTGCCCCCTCAGTTAGTATTAGTTGAAAAAAATTCATTGAAAAAAAAATTAATTAAAAAAAAATTGTTAGTCAAATTTTTAAATTTTTGTTTAAAAATCAACATAATATAAAAATTACATTGACACCCCTTGAGATTTATGTTTATTATACTCGAAAGATAAAAATTATATAAAAATAATAATAATTTTTTATTTTTTATTTCTTAACCAAATTAATTTTTAATTTTTAATTTTTTTTTATAAAAATCAAACCATACATAACCTAATAATCTTTTGATAAGTCATTTTTTACGTTGATAACTTATTTAATTATTTGTTAATTTTACAACATTTTTACCATATGATGCCTGTTTGGTAACTATTTCGTTTTTAGTTTTCAATTTATATTTATAAAAATTTAAAAAAATATCATAAAAACTTATTTGATAATTTTTTTAATTTATAAATGGTTGTGCCAGTTTGTAAATTTGAAGAAAAAACGTAAATTCAAAAAATGAGTTTACGTTGGTTTTTAAATAGAAATTTAAAATTTTGATAAACAATTTTTTTTTTCAATTAATTTTTTTACAATTAATTTTTTTCCCAATTTATTTATTTTTCAACTAATACTAACCGAGAGGGCAATTGGTAATGCTACTTTAAATCTTGGGAGGAGATTGCAATTTCTAAAATGTGAGGGGTGTTAATGTAATTTACCCAATGAGGATAAAATTGACATTTAAAAAAATTAAATTGCTAGAGGAAGCAATCTATAATAAAATTTTAAACCTCAGAAATAGGAATATAGTTTTCAAAAGGTGAGAGAAAATTGTAATAAACATAAACTTCAAAGGATATTAATAAAATTTAGGGAAAATTGGCCTAAGGTCCCTCCTCTACTTTTGATATGAGGAGAGGTCCTTTATAATATGTTTTGATGGCTAAGGTCCCTCAAATTTATTTTAGGTTATAAAGTACCTAAATTACCCTTCCTTTATAACATAAATTTGTTTGAATATTATATGGTTGAGTTAACTGATACATTTTGGAAACCGAATTTGAAGGGGAGATTTTGTCGGAGTTTTCGTCGGAGATTTCAGTGGAGATTTAGCTCTCATGTCCAAGCTGGGATGGAAAGTGTTAAAGGAGGACAATTGTTTATGGGTGGCTGTGCTCAAAAACAAATATTTGGGGAAGCAACCCCTCTTACACAAGAAAAAAGGCAAGAATATTTCTCATATATGGAAAGGCATCCTTAACTCAATGGAGCTTCTTGTTAAAGGGGTGAGATGGAACCTTGGAAGAGGGTCCAAAGTTAGAGTTTGGAAAGATTGGTGGTGTGGTGATTGAGTCCTTGAACAGGATTTGAGCATTCCCACTTACCCACTCCCAAATTCTGGGAATACCACTGTGGATTCCCTTATTGAGGAGAATGGTGAATGGGATTTGAATCATATGCATAACCTTTTACCAAGGAATATGGTTGTGGAAATTCTGAAAATGTAACCTCCTCGAAATAGGGATGAAGTGGATACTCCTAGATGGGTTAAATCCCCTGATGAAGAATTCTCTACGTCAAGTGCATATGAATTAATTGTTGATCACCAAAGTCAAGAAGGGGATTGGGGTTGGAAATGGAAGCTTAAGCTCCCCCGTAAGCTTAAGAGATTTGTGTGGCTTGTTCTCCATGAGAAAATCCTCACAAATCTTATGAGACAATTGAGGGGCCTTACTAATGACCCAAAATGCCCATGTTGTGAAAACTTGGAGGACATTGATCATTTATTACGGTTTTGTCCCAATGCTGTGCAAGTTTGGTGTCAAATATTCAGTCCGGAATGGTACTCTAACATGCTCAATTTGTCTTGGCCCGAATGGATCATTCAGAATGTTAAAGGGAGGAACAAATCTCCTCATCTGTTCCTTATTACCATATGGACTATTTGGAAGAATAGGAATAAAATGGTTTTTGAAAATAAACATACAAACTTGCATCAGAGTGTAAAAAGTATATTAACTTTTGCTAAGGAAATTTTTCAAGCTTTCAAGTTAGATATCACAACACCTCTAAAATATAAAAGTCTAACTGTATGGTCTTGTCCAAGTGCA